GAATTCAGTTATTTTAAATAAGATTAGCTTCTTAAAAGCAGTACAAGAAATAGATAATGTGGCTTGAATTCACAAAACTTTCACCTTCTGTGTATGTATCACAGAGCCGCAGTTTAAGAACCAGATTAAACTGGAAAAATATTTGTAATATAAGAATATGTGTGTGGGGCCTCCCCTGGTGGCGCAGTGGTTGACCGCTGGGTTGCAAAGCGGCCCGCAGCCTCTGCAGTGCCAGTTCAATCCCCGGCCGCTGGCGAGGGTCCCACATGGCGCGCAGACCTCTCCTGCCACCCACTGCTCCCCTCAGCAGTGTATTTCGGTCGGTCTGCCTGTTCTATTCCCCACTCCGGCTCTGGTGAATTCCCTCACCCTCCTGTGCTTCTGACTGTACCCCAGTGCTTGTATAAATAAATAAATCTTTAAAAAAAATGTATGTTTATAAAATCAACTATTTAAAATACAGTTCCTCCTGGATAAGAAATGCCCAAAAGAAAAAGGCAACCAAATGCAAAACATGAGCTATTTCAAGCTCATTAGTAATCAATAAGATAGAATTGGAATTCCCTGATTCCTTGTTTCCTACATTTACAAATCATCATATAACCTTGTTCCCAAGTAAGGTAAAATCATTATCACGTTTTTTTGGGGGGTTTTTTTTGTTTGTTTGTTTGTTTTTTTTTTGTGATGTATCTCATTTTTTTTTTTATTTTGGTGAATTTATTTTAATTTTATGTAATTCTTACATTATTTTTCATCTTTGCACAATGTATGCATTTTCATTTTGGTTATATTCCCATACAATTGCACCCCCCCCTTATTTTGACTCTATTTCTTCTTCTCCCTGCCCCTCCCTGCCCCTCCCCCCATAGTGTGTTTCTGGTTTATAGTTGCTTGTTGATTTTGATTATTACTTTGTATTGATTAGTCTTTTTCCTGGTCTCATTTAGATTTTCTAAATTCCTGCTATGAGTGAGACCATCGGTATTTTTCTTTTTCTTTCTGACTTATTTCGCTGAGCATGATCCCTTCTAGCTCCATCCATGTTGCTGCAAACTGCATGTGTTTACCTTTTTTGATTGCTGAGTAATATTACATGTGTATATGTACCACATCTTCTTGATCCAGTCATCTATTTTTGGGCATTTGGGTTGTTTCCATATCTTAGCTATTGTAAACAGTGCTGCTATAAACATAGGGGTGCAGGTGCCCTTTGGAATTATTGTTTGTGTCATTTGGGTAAATACCTAGGAGTGGAATTGCTGGATCATATGGAAGCTCTATGTTTAGTAGGTCCAGAAATCTCCACACAGCTCTCCATAGTGGTTGGACCAGTTTGCACTCCCACCAACAGTGCAGGAGTGTTCCTTTTTCTCCACAACCTCGCCAACATTTGTTGTTGCTAGTTTTTTTAATATGTGCCATTCTCACTGGTGTAAGGTGGTATCTCATGGTAGTTTTGATTTGCATTTCCCTGATTACAAGTGATGTTGAACATATTTTCATATGCATGTTGGCCATTTGCATTTCCTCTTCGGAGAAGTTTCTTTTTAGCTCTTCTGCCCATTTTTTTTGACTGGATAATTTTCTTTGTTTTTATGGAGTCTCATCAGCTCTTTTATAGATTGTTGTGATCAGTCCTTTATCATTAGTGTTGTGTGCAAAAATGTTCTCCCAGTCGATGGGGTTTCTGTGTTTTTGTTATTGTCTCTTTTACTGTGCAGAAGCTCTTTAATTTGATGTAGTCCCAGCTGTTTATCTTTGCCTTCACTATCACTGCTTTGGGTGATGTGTCTGTAAAGATGTCTTTGATGTGCATGGTATGGTATTGGAACAAGAACAGACACACGGACCAATGGAACCAAATAGAAAATCCAGAAATAAACCCACAGATTTATGGTCAACTAATCTTTGACAAAGGAGCAAAGAATATGCACTGGAGCAAAGAAAGTTTGTTCAATAAATGGTGCTGAGAAAACTGGGTTGCTACATGCAAAAGAATGAAGCTTGACCACTACCTCACACCATGCACAAAAACCAACTCAAAATGGATTAAAGAACTAGGCATAAGACCTGAAACCATAAAATATATAGAAGGAAATATAGGCAAAACACTACATGACATGCTATCATGTTTATTTTCTTTCTACCTTAGGTTTTATTGACCAGTTTGTGAAATTTTAACTGCACGTGATACCAACTTTTAAAGATATTGAAGATATCAGTCTTTTCTGTTTTAAGTATTAGCAATGATATTAAATTTTTAGCAATTTCAATGATTTTATATCAATAATTCTTAATGATTGTTACCACTTTCTTCTTTTTCATAATACTTAAATATCACGTCCACCCCCTAATATAGAGTGGTGTACATTTTGAGTACTTGGATATCTGTACATATAATTTTTTCTTAATACAAACCACTGTTTGGCTGGACATAAATTATATGGTCATGCTATTTTCCCTTGTAAGTCTGAAACCATTGCTTTGTTCACTTTCATTTGATGAAAATAAATCTTACCCTAGTGTGATTGTTTTTCTCAATAAGCAACCTGTTTTCAATTACCTAGTTTTTCTGTTTTATAAAAATTTGAATTTTAGCAGGTTCGTTGGCATTTGTGAGTATGTATTAATGGACTTTTCACAGTATCTTTGCCCAGCATTTAGTTAACTGCTAGGTATTTTTTTCCACCTGAAAATTAGTTTTTCTTTGACTAAAGATGTTTTCTTTTACAATTTCTTGGATGATCTGTTCTGTGTAACCTACTCTGCCTTCATTGTAGAATTCCAATAATTCCAAGATTGAATATTCTGAAGTTATTTTTGTCATTTGTATATTTAGCCTAGGATAATGCCTCAACTTGGACTTATATTTGGTTTTCAGTCATGTCCATTTCAATCTTTTTTCTTCTTTTGTTAACTTTAAATTTATTTCATAATTATGATTTCCTGATAGCTTATTTCATTTTCCTCCCTTTATATTGAAGCATGGTTTGGCTTTATCCATGCAATGCCCTCTTAAGTAGTATTAAGTAGATCTAATTATAAGTTGACATTAATCCCTATTCCCTGTATCGACTACTTTTCAGGGGTTATTTACTCATTTGCATAGGAAAAATTTCTTGTTTTGTTGATTTCCTTATATGACCAGTGAATTTTTGTTGCTTGCATATTTTTAATGAAGTCCACAAGTAACCATTCATGTTGGCTGATACAAGGTACCTCAGCATGTGTTACTATTTGATTTTCTTCAGCAAGCCATCCCACCTTAAAGCAAAATAGCCGTGGAAATCCAAAGGTAAGGTTTGTTCTTGGCGTGGGGAGAAGGCAAGCACATGTCACAAAAGAAAGTCCTCCTAAGCATTCAGTGGCTGAGAGCCAACTAGTAAGTAGACCTCCTAGCACCTGCCCTTGGCCAAGGAAGCTGCTTGAGCTCCCTTTTACCTTGCATTCCATCTGCAGCCAAGTTAAGCTTTGCAATTCCAAGATCCCATCTGCAAGATTCCTGTCAGTGCTGGTAAGGACAGAGTGATGTATATCACTGGTCAGAATAAAAATGTGTGCCACTCTTGTGGAAAATAATTTAGCAGGGTGTAAAAGACCTTTACAATGGCCATTCCCCTTGGTCTTCATAATTCTAGAGGTCTATCTTAAAGAAATAGGGAAGTGTACATGGATTTATATTTGGAGATCTCAACTGCTGTGCCTCTTATAGAACCAAAAAAAAAAAAAAATGGTTAGTCTGTCTTAAAGAAGAGACATGATAAATCTTGTCGCTTGTTTAGCTGTATGAGGGGATAATTTTGCAGTCAAGTTTAAAATGCCTGATTACATGGAGAAATGCCCTTGAAAATAAAAAATCAGGGTACACACAACATTTTATGTAGAATATGATCTTCATTAGAAAGAGTAAAAATGTTTATATATGATAAAAGGGCCAGACTAATACAATGCAACAGATTATTAGTGTTTTCTTTTTAAAACTTACCCAAATTTTCTTATTCAAATTCTTAAGTGAGTCTGCATGACTTTTACAACACACAAAAAAACCAGTAAATGTTGTAAAAATGTCTCTCCATGCTCTACACTTCACCAAAAATGATCCCTACTCTTGAGAATTTGTAGGCAAAAATGATTTACATTAGGGCTGAATTTGCCAATTATCACAACGTGCAAATGGAACTTGAGTTCTCCAGCGTCTTCACATTGTGCCGTGGGCAGCGGCTGTTGCCAGCCCTGGCACTGGCGCTCAGCATGGCCCATCTGCTGCACAGGCTTGGCTGACACAGACTTATTTCATTTCCTTCTTTAATTTGGCAACATTTTCTCTTTCTTCATTATCATAGCTGGGATTCAGTACCAGCATTACTCATTTTGTTTCCCAGCTTGTTGTTTTCTTTTGTTCCATTTTGTGAAGACGAAGCAGCCAACAACGGGAATTCTGTATTCTGCAAATGCAATGCTTGTCCTCTGGGATCTTGGGCATGTCTTGCTGAAGCCGTCTCTGTTTCTGACACTTGCAAGTCGTTTCAATTGTGTTGATAACTAGAAAGCTTCATGGTGCTCACTCAGCTTTCCTTTCTTCCTCCCCTTTCACCTCCCACCCCAAGAAGATTTGGAAACTGTTCCCAATAGAAATTCTAAACACTAGCCTTGAGCTATGCACTCTCCATCTGGTGTTTAGTGCTTTTTTTTTAAATTGAGGCTCTTGTTTAATCTTTGTCACTGCTGCAGAAGCCTGAGGTGTGAGACTGACACTCTGCCCCAAGCACCCTGCAGTTAAGGAGGGATCTTCATCTGAATTGGTTTGTATTTTAAAGAGCGCCAGCATAGTCAACCAGATCTTTAAGAACTTTCTCAAGTGAAACAAGTGTTGTCTTAGAGATTTCTTAAATGAATCTGTTGGGCTAGGACAGCTGCTACCCAAGAGTATTCTTTGAGGCTGGTCTTTTCTTTCTCTTTAGACAAGTCTTGACAAGACTTTGCACTCCTTTTCTCTCTAGGTTACCCTGAAGAGACTTACCCAGTTTACGACATTTCAGATTGCATAAGGCATAGGCACGAAAGCATCCTGGTGGATTGCCCTGACCAGAGAAAACCCTCTGCTGAAGAGCTAGCTGAGCAAATGGGAGCGCTCACGGCAGACGCAGACCCTTTGGGTTGGGAGCTGCCCACTGACCCCACTGCTCAGGAGGATCCTTCTGTTCCCTCTTCTGACTCACAGCCAGAAACATGTTCCTGCTGTTTTCATGAAGAAGAGGATCCTGCTGTTTTGGCAGAGAATGCTGTATTTGGTACAGACAGTTCGAGTGAGCAGGAGGAAACCACCAAGGAAGTTCGGCCTCAAGACTGCAGAGATGAAGGCTTGTGTGCCAGCACCAAGACAGCAGATAGAGGTGATATGTTGAGGAAGCGGAACCCTCAGGGTTTAGAATGAAAACAGCCAGTTTGGTGAAATCCATTCCTCTGGTCCCGGGGTGACCTTTCTTTTCTCTCTGATTTCATCCTTGGCCATGTGCCCTGTACCTCACCCCTGTGTTCACATATCATAGCCAGTTACCGCCACAGATATCATGTCTCTTACACACCTGTCATCTTGTAAAACATCGTAGAGATCAGCATGCACAAGACAGCTTCAGTCTTCTCTGTCTTTCCTCCTCAGAGTTGATCCACCAGGGAATTATGTTTGATCTGCTATGATTACAGGTGGGAGGTGGGGGCAGAGGTCTGGCTCTGCATTCTAGGAGTAGCAGATGGCTTACCTGTGAACAAACATCAGCTTACACATGATGGGGACTTAACGGTTGCAGGAATGAAGATTTCAATTTCAAGATGCCTTATTCTGTGGGCCCTGAGCAGGTTAGTTGTCCCTGGGCTTGGGAAAACATTTTTGTGGGGACAGTGGGACCAGACGTTAAGACTACTGTTTGAGCTGAAGCCCCTTCCCTCACAGTGAGGGCCTTGTTTTTGCTTTAAAAGAAAGCTGAGATGGCATCAGAAACCATTGCTCCAGAATAGCACTTCCCACTGACCTGAGAATGAACACAGAGGCCTGTTGGGGCACTGTTTGGCTCATATATTGCCTGGGTCTCTAGCTTCTCTCTGCTCTGCTCAACTGAACTGCTAAATCCAGAAGCACCACTGTACCTCTTGACCTTCAGCAGCCAGAGGAAGTTTAGGTAAACTTTAGTTCTTGCCCTGCAAAGGTTTGATGTTGAGGCTGCAGGAAAGCCTGCCCTGGGTAGTGGTCCTGCCATGAGATGCTCAAAAGGTGACAGGGGAGAGAACTGTGTACTGATGGACTGTACTTACCTGTATGTCATGCCTGGGATGTTCTTACGACCACATGTACTGTGTGCCAGCCCAGCAGGGAAGTGGCAGAGTTCCAATGTGGCTGTGCCAGAGGGGGAGACCATTTGTTTTGGTATTTGGATATCTGGTTCATTTGGTAGCGCTGGAAAAAAGTAAGAATTAGATTAGAACTGGAGGGATTCTGGCCAAACTAAAGGCCTAGTTTCTACGCTGCTAGGTCTCTTCTTGAGATAAGATGGCAGCTCTGGGCCTAAGAAGGATGAGTGGATTCAGTTTACCTGTAAGACCTGAGTTTAAAATGAGTACACTCCTAAGAACAGTCCCAGTAATAAAATGTGGAAAGCTTGAAAATTATGTAAAGGCATATGTGGCTTTTAGAGTTCCATCATGCCCTGCACAATTGGTATGAATGAGATGTCTGGAAAATAGTTTTAATTGCATATATAAGCTTACCAACTGCTGCTAGGTGTGGAATCATAGGAAGATAATGCCATATACTAGGCATTCTTGTTAAGTCACTGAAAAGTGAGTCTATAGAAAATATTTTTGCATCTGTCTCCATGTGGAACATTTGATTCACTTATAAAGAATGTAGTTTAAAATGTACTGAAAGCAATGTACATATAATGTTAAAGGTAAACAAAAATGTAGGTGCTCTTTACTGTTATGATAAATTATTTTCTCATTTTTTTTTTTCATTCATGATAGGTATATTTATGAGGAGAATCCTGGCTCAAATTTCTTTTTGGCTTAAGGATAGGATTTCTTGATTAGAGATTACATGTTAGATTCCTTTTAGCCTATTCAGTGATTTAGTACACATTACTCAGAAAGGCATTGGAAAAAGGAGGCTCAATTCCCATCTTTAAAAAGATGCAGTTTCATGTAGGAGCCTCATCCATTACTTTTACATGAACTATGAATGGGTTCAAGATTGTGAATTTTGCAGGCAGAGAGATGTTGCTTGATTCCACCCAGCCTATGCTATCTGTAGAAGCTTGAGACAGCTCCTTAACTTTGAGCCTTTATTTTTCTCATATTTAAAGTGGGGAGTAAGTCTAGCTCTTATGGACTGGTTATGAGGATGAATGAAATAATCAGTGCCTATAAAGTAGCACTGGTCCTGTAATAAATGATAACTATTTAAGTGGTAGTTAATGTTTTTGCCAATTACAGCATAAATTATCTCCTGTATATCTAGATCCATATAGCAAAGTATTTCCAAGAAACTTTACAGAGGAGATGCACAAGGATGAGAAAGGACATTTTTGACAGAAAGTCGTGCTGTAGAAAGCGTATTCAGGTATTTTAATGAGTCTGGTATGTAAGATATCACATAACTATTCTGACATGTTGTTCTTTGGGGAAAACTGTCTAATAGAAATGGCTCTGCTTGGCTAATGTATATCAGGAATATATTTATATATTTAAATTTCAGAAATTTTGTTGTTCTTTTCAATCATTTCAAATTGGATGCCCCCCCCCCCCCAAAAAAAAAGGGTCTGGTATTCGTATTTTTGCCTGCTGCCTCTTTCCTCATGGTCTTCATTTCTCTGAACTGGTCTACAATTTGATCAGTACCCTGGGAATAGCTATAGAGCACAGAAGTCATTACCTCTGGGAGCAGGTAATTGGCCCAGAAAACAAGTCCATCCTATGGATCCACAGTCGGTGAAATAGGTGGGTGATCTAGCCTGAAGATCTCCTTCCCTGGTAATAGCAGGAAAGTGTGTCATTTGCTCAGGGCTAGTTATCTTTATGCTCTAGAAGTCGAGTTCAGAGGGTATACTGAGGGGTGGAGGCCTGTGAGAACCATACTCCGTACCTTCCATGGCTTGGGTGATCAAACAATTTATGGTCCAAACTGGGACACTCTGGAAGAAAGACAGCTCTAGTAGTAATTATGCAATGGTTGTAAACCAGAACCATCTTGGATATGTGATCATCTTGTCCATTTAAAAGATTTGTTAGAGAGTTGATTCAAGACACTAGCAGAGACAACCAACAACTAGCACACGGTTAAACAATAAAGCTCATCTCCCACACAAGTCCAGTCCTTTGAGAGAGGTAAATGTTCACATGAAGGAAGGTAAAGCTGGGGCCTCCCCTGGTGGCGCAGTGGTTGAGCACTGGGTTAGCGAAGCTGCCTGCAGCCTCAGCAGCACAGGTTCAAAGCGTTAATGTTCAAAGCTTTTAAGAAACCTAATTATATTGGGCCTCCCCTGATGGCGCAGTGGTTGAGCGCTGGGCTGCGAAGCTGCCCACAGCTTCTGCAGCGCCGGTTCGATCCCCGGCCACCGGCGAGGGTGCCCCATGGCGCGCAGGCCGGGCTCGATTCCCCGGCCGCCGGGCTCGATTCCCCGGCCGCCGGGCTCGATTCCCCGGCCGCCGGGCTCGATTCCCCGGCCGCCGGGCTCGATTTGGCACAAGACCTCGCCTGCTGCGCCCACTGCTCCCCCTCGTATTTCGTCAGTCTGCCCGTTCTGTTCCCCGCTCTGGTAAATGCTCTCACCTTCCTGTGCCTCTGACTGTACCCAGTGCTTGTATAAATAAATCTTTAAAAGGTAAAGCTGCAGGAAAAAAAGGGAAAATTTACCTGGTACTCAACAAAAAGAAAATGTAATTAAGCCATAGCTGAAGCACACAAGAGAGGGGTTCAACAGAATATATGAGACAGAATCATGACTTGGGAAATAGGGCAATGGAAATCATAGCAGTAGCACAGCAAAGGAGAATTTTAAAAAGAGATAGCTTAAGGGAATATAGGGAACAACATCAGGTGTAAAATACTGATAGGGGTACCAGAAGAAGGGAGGACAGGGAAGGAAGCACACCCCAATCTATTAAGAGTCCCAGACAAGATGAATCCAAATAGGCCCATGTTATAATTAAAATGGCAGAAGAAACCCCCATAAGACTATCAGCACATTTCTCATCAGAAACTTTGATTATGCCATTACCTCTGGTCCACAATGTACTGAGAGGAAGAAACTTCCAACCAAGAATACTCTACCTGGTAAGGTTAGCACTCAGAACTAAAAAGATAAATAAGCTTCCCAGACAGACAAAAGCTAAACAACTTCACTCATCTAGCCTCGCAAGACTAGTAACACGGAAACATAGGAAGGAAAAATATCTCACTGCTAAAAGTATAAGGAGAGTGAATTAGTAACGAAAACGTCGATAACCAGTCAAGGGATACATGACAAATTTTTTTTTTTTAAATGACATCAAAAACAGAATGGGTTAGGAACAGTAAAAATACTGTTAGAATGAACTCAATTGAGTTACTATCAACTTATAATGGATTTACAATATACATTTATATACAGAGGTGGTCATATGTGAACCTCCTGGTAACCACAAAGCAACAATCTACAGTAGAAACAGTGTAAATGCAACCTAAACCTAACACTAAGAAAAGTTATCAAACTTCAAATGGAAAAGAACAAGAACAAAGGAAAAGAGGAACTATATAATAACAAGAAAACGGTAATATGTACCTACTGACAATTACTTTACATGTAAATGGATTAAATTCTCCAAAATAGAGTGCCTTAATGGCTAAAACACAAGACCCATCTATACACTGCCTATTGCCAATCAGAGACCCACTTAAAATGTAAGGATGAAAACAGACTAGAATTGAAGGGACAGAAAAAGGCGGCTGATATACAGGAAGGAAAAAGTAGGGAGGGAACAGATAGAGGGGTTGGTTGGTTGGTGGGCGTGATGTAGAGATATTGAGGTGGGAGGCTGTACCCCTAACACGTGTTGTAAACTAATGTTGCCTCAAAAAAAAATTACTATCATTATAGTCATCTGCAGAGTCAGCCTAATACAAGGTAGAAGATATACATTACACATTACTAATGACAGGAGGGTCAGTCCGCCAAGAAGATAGGACACTAAAACAAAGCAAAAATTATTAGACCTAAAAGGAGAAATTGAAAGCAACACAAGTCAAAGTAGGGGACTTTTAAATACCCAATATATGTCAATGGATTGATCATCCAGACAGAATCATCCAAGGAAACATCAATCTTAACATAACACATTAGACCAGATGAACTTAATACACATAGAACATTCTGTCCAAAAGCAGGATACATAGTCTCAGGTACACATGGAACATTCTCAAGGATAGATCATTTATTGGAACACAAATCATATATCATTTAAGACTGAAATCATATCAAATCTTTTCTACCACAATGGTATGGAATCAGAAATCAATTACAAGGAGAAAGCCAAAAAAAAAAAAAAAAGGCCAATATGGAGATTAAACAAGATACTGGAAATTAAACAATTTGGTTAATAATATTAGGTATAGGGAATCAAGGAAAAGTACCTGGAAACAAATGAAAACATGACACACCATATGATCTATGGAATGCAGTGTTAAGTGGGTACTCTGAAAAGTTTATAGCAGGACAGGCCTGCCTCAAGAAATAAGAAAATCCCAGTACACAATCTAACCTCACACCTAAAGGAACGAGAAAAAGAAAACCTAGTCAGTGGTAGGAAGTAAATAAAAATCAGAGCAGACATAAGTGACCAAAAAGACAACGGAAAAGATCAATGAATCTTTTAAAACATAAATTGACAAAGCTTTAGCTAGACTAAGAAAAATTAGCTTCAAATAACACCAAACAAGAATTAACAATGGACACTACAAAAATACAAAGAAGAGGCTGCTATGAATATCTATAGGTTAACAAATTAGACAACCAGAAAGAAATGGATAAATTTTCAGAAGGAAACCACCTTCCAAGATAATCATGAAGTAGAAATCAGGATAGACCAACCTCTAGTATGGAGATTGAAACAGTACAACCACAAACTGCAAAAAAAAAAAAAAAAAAAAATTTAAAAATTGGCCAGGGCCAGAACTTCAACAGTGAATTCTATCAAACTTTTCCCAAAAATTGAGGGGAGGGCATGCTTCCTAACTCATTTTAGGCAGCCAGCATTTGCTGATGCCAAAACCAGATAAAAATATGCAATAAAGGAAAATTACAGGTTTATATCCTTAATATACATTGATAAAAATTTTTCAACAATATATTTGCAAATGAAATTTCAATAATACATTAAAAAGGTCATGCACCATAATCAAGTGAAATTTGTTCAAGGGATACATGGATGGTTCAGTATCTAAAAAATCAATGTGATATATACTACATTAACAAAATGAAGTATAAAAATCATGATCATCTCAATAGATGCAAAAAATGGCATTTGATAAAAATTCTCAATATAGTGGGCAGAGAAGGGACATGCCTCCAAGAAGTTATAAATATGGCCATAATAAAGGCTATATATGACATGCACAATTAACATACTCAATGGTGAAAAACTGAAAACTTCCTCAAAGATCTAGAAAAGACAAGGATACCCCACTCTGACGACTTTTATTCAACATAGTTTTAGAAGTTCTAGACAGAGCAAATGACACAATCTAATACATAGGAAATCCTAAAGACAGCACCAAAAAACTGTTAGAAATAATAACTACAGTAAAGTTTCAGAGTAAAAAATCAATACACCAAGTGTGTTGTGTCCCTATATGCCAACAAAGAAGTATTAGAAAGAGAAATCAATCCCATTTGCATTGAAAATAATACCTAGGATTAAGCTTAATTTAAGGAGGTAAAAGACCCATACACTGCAAGACATTGTTGGAAAAGCATTAAAGTGACACCAAAAAGTGGAAAGACATTCCATGTTTATGGATTAGAAGAATTAACACTATGCAAATGTCCATATTATCCAAAGAAATTTACAGATTCAATGTAATCCCTATCAAAATCTCAATGGTATTTTTGACTGAAATAGGACCAAAAAAAAAACCTTAAAATTTGTAGGGAACCTCAAAAAACTCCACCAGCCAGGGCATTCTTGAGAAACAAAGCTGTAGGCATCATGCTCCCTGATTTCAAATTGTATTACAAAGCTGTAGTAATCAAAACATGGTGCTGGCATAAGAACAGTGTCAGTGGAACAGAATGGAGAGTTCAGAAGTAAATTCACAAATACATGGTTAATTATGACAAAGATGACAAAAATATACAATGGGAGAAAAAGGACAGTCTCTTCAGTAAGTGGTGATGGGAAAACTGAACAGCCACATGGAAAAAAATGAAAATGGACCACTGTCTTACATCATCATCAAAGGTTAACTCAAGACTAAGACTTGAAACCATGATAACTACAAAATATATATATATATATATATATATATATATAAATATATAATAAGCTCCTGGACATCAGTTTCAGTGATGTGGATTTGACTCAAACAACAAGGGAACAAACAAAAATAAACAGTGGGACTGCATCAAACTAAAAAGCTTCTGCATAGCAGTGAAAACTATTAACAAATCCAAAATGCATTAAAACAAGTATTACAACTCAAAAAACAATGAATCAAAAGCAATTCAAAAATGGGTAGGGAAACAACAATTTCCCCAAAGACATAGAGATGTCCAACAGACACATGAAAAGATTCTCAACATCACTATCACTAGGGAAATGCAAGTCAAAACCACAATAAGACATCACCACAAAGCTTTCAGAAAGGCTGTCATCAAAAAGACAAGTGTGGGGCCTCCCCTGGTGGTGCAGCGGTTGAGCACTGGGCTGCGAAGCTGCCCGCAGCCTCTGCAGCACGGGTTTGATCCCCGGCCACCAGCGGGGGTCCCACATGGCGTGCAGACCTCTCCTGCTGCCCGCTGTTCTCCTCAGCAGTGTGTTTCGTTGGTCTGCCTGTTCTGTTCCCCGCTCTGGCTCTGGTGAATTCTCTCACTCTCCCGCGCTTCTGACTGTACCCAGTGCTTGTATAAATGAATAAATAAATCTTAAAAAAAAAAAAAAAAGACAAGGGCCTCCCCAGTGGTGCAGCAGTTGAGCGCTAGGTTGCGAAGCTGCCCACAGCCTCTGCAGCACCGGTTCGATTCCTGGCCTCCGGGCGAGGGTCCCACATGGTACGACAGACCTCTCCTGCTGCGTCTGCTGCTCCCCTCAGCAGTGTACTTCGGTCCTTCTGCCTGTTCTGCTCCCTGCTCTGGCTCTGGTGAATTCTCTCACCTTCCCACACTTCTGACTATACCCAGTGCTTGTATAAATAAATAAATCTTAAAAAAAAAAAAAAAAGACAAGTGTGGGTAAAGATGTAAAGAAAAGAAAATACTAGGGTGCCATTGGTGGGAACATAGATTGGGAAAGCCACTATGGAAAAAGAACATGGAAGTTCTTTAAAAAATAAAAGATAGAACCACCATATCTCAAATTTCCTTTCTAGGTATTTATCAGAAGAAAATGAGAATAGTAATTTGAAAGAATAAATGCACCCTCATTTTCACTGAAGCATGTAGCAACCAAGATATGGAAACAATCTTAAGTGTCCTCAGTGGATGAATGGATGAAAGTGATACATACATCCACACAGAGGAATATTACTCAGTCGGGAAGAAGAATGAAATCTTGCCATTTTCAACAACATGGATGGACCCTGAGGGGATTATGTTAAATAAGCCAGAGAGAGAAATACTGCATGATTTCACTTCTATGTGGAACCTAGAGAAAATCAAACTCATAGAGATAAAGAACAGATTGGAGGTTACCAGAAGGAAGAGGGGTTGGGAGTAGAGTGGGTATGAAGGGGAAGAACAGGTACAAGCTTCCAGTTACGGAATATATCACAGAAACGTATGGAGAATATAATCAAAAACAAGGCATTGCAAATTTGAAAGTTGCTAAGATGGTAAAAGACTTACTGCAATGGTCATTTTGCAGTGCATGCATATGCTGAGGTGTGCGGTACACCTGAAACTGAAATGCTGTATGTCAATTACACCATAATAAAGGTATCCCAACCTCAAAAATACAAAAAAGATGGCCTCCCTGGTGGAGCAAGGAGTTAAGCACCGCACTATGAAGCAATCCGCAGCTTCTGCAGCACAAGTTCGATCCCCAGGTGGCCAGGGAGCCACATGGCGCAGCAGACCTCTCCTGTCTCGCCCGCTGCTCCTCTCAGCAGTGTATTTCCATCGATCTGCCTGTTCTGTTCACCACTCTGTCTCTGCTGAATCCTCTTGCCTCCCACATCTCTGGCCTGTGTCTCTACTCTTGTATGCATAAATAAATCTTTTAAAAAAATACAAAAAAGAATTAAAAACAATTGCCTTTAACCTGATCACTAAACAACTAACCCTCCTTCCTTTTCAGTATCGCACTGCATGTACAGAGCTGCAGGCCTTAGGCCATGCTTAAGGCTGGACATGCTCCTAGCACCATAAAAACTCAAAATCTGGTGTAATAAACAGCCCTACTTATGAAGTTCCCCATAGCCCAGAAAGTACTCCAAAGAAAAACCTAGTGCTTCAGCTACCCAGCAGTGCTGAAGGAAAACATGCAGTGTCCATGTCTTTGCCTTGAACGTTTTTATACATATTTCTCAACCCAACCTTCATTTTCTCCTTCCTGTTTTTTTTACGCAAATAGGGCTAATTTGCATTAGCTCATTTATTGACTGCTCCAAGCACCAATTTTTTCCTCATTTATGAATATGGAATAATACCTACCTTGCAAGGCTGTTAGGGTTAAATGAGATACTCTGAGAAAGTACACCAGGGTACAGTACGTGGCAGGTGCCTGTGACAGCATCATCAAAAGCATCACCACTGTCCAAGGCCTGGCTGCCGGGCTGTGACACTTGGCACCGTTGGCCCCCTGGCCGGGAAGGGCCCAGCAGCACATCGGCTCCTGTAGTCTCTGGGCGACTAGTCTGGACCTCCTCCTTCATCTTTTATGTCTGCTCCCGGTCACTACTGTAGCCTTTGCTCTTGGCTTCAGATCTGCCACAAGCTGAAAAGAAAATTCCCACACATGGCCACACTGTTTATACAGGTGAGGCTTGTGGAGGGCCGGTGGGACCAAGTGGCTGGATCTCCTTTCTGCCACCTGGGCTTTTCCTACCTTTCCCGGCTCTATGGCTTGTTTTGTTCTCAAATGCCAGGCCCACAGACGCGTTCTTGGGAACGACAGCGCAGTCTTCCAGTGGGCACAGCATAGGAGTACGGCAGTAAATCTTACCTCAGTCTCTCTGTTCTTCTGGTCCTTCCCAGCCTGCAAGTCCTGACCCCGCTGAAACTGGAAGGGCGTGGTCAAGAGCAGTTTTGACTCACCTGCCATGAGATCCCTGCAGTCACCCCCTTGTTACCACCACCCTCCTATCCACCTCGGCGAGTCGGGACTGAAGGAGTGAGAGACATAGGAATAACATTCCAGGGAACTTTTTTCCATTTTATGTGGCAGGGTGGGGATTAAAAAAGCACACAGCAGTGTTGAAACAATTCAAGTTTAATTCGTTGCTATACGTTCTGTACTTAGACAAACACTAAGTTCTACAACATACATAATGTCAACATGGGAAAATACCAACTTTGTCGTTGCACAAACCAATAAATAAATACATTTGCTCCAGAATACCAAAGAGTTTATTCAAAAAGTCACTTAATAAAAGCACAGTTTTGCAAGTTTGTCTAAAACTCCAGATAATTTTGAACAAAAATAAAATGTCTGACCACTCCAAAATAGGAAAAGACAATCTTGTGCAAATAGACACACACATTCTAGGCATTATGGAAACGGGCTCACTGGATGCTCCCCGCGAGAGAAACGCCCATGTCTATCCTGACCAGGTCGCCTCCGTCACCAAGTGCAGGATTAAAGAGGCAAGACTCGGCCTTCCCTTTCTGAGTCACTGAGTTACCCTCAAGGAGACTCCGGGGCTCAGCCTCCTCTCCAGCTCTGCCTGGACCTTGATGGGGGGACCGGGAGGGGCAGGAGAAAGGGTGACGGGACGTCTGTCTGAGGAAAGGAAAAAGGCACCGTGATGAGCTAGAAAGGGAGTGATGAAAGCAAGGCTCAACTTTCATGCACTCTGAGGCCTGCTACAAGCTTGACCGTCCAACCTCATTTTGTAGATGAGAAAACAGACCTAAAGACATTACATGGTTTGCTCAACACCTCAGAAGCTGCCGAATGCGGCAGGGCTTCCTGTAAAACCAACTTAACTCTCTCAACTTGGTTGGAAAATTTGGAAGCCAAACCCGTCCCGGGATTTCCGCTATGCCTCTTCCCCGCTATCCTGAAATGACAGAAAACTGCAAACTGGAGGTATGGAAGGACAAGAGCCTTTCCCTCAGCCTGTTCTAGAGGCAGCTTCAGGCCTACCAGCCAGGACCCAGGGCCGTGCAGGGTCCCAGCTCCAGACCCAGGTACAGGGAGTCAAGCCCGCCCAGCTGGGTATCCCAAGAAAGCACACAGCCATCAAGAAGAAAGTGCTGAGCGCCACCTGGCATCCTGAGGTCACAGAGATGTCATGACCAAGGTGAGCGATCCTAGAGGGGAAGGCCAGTGCTGCCGCAGGAAGGGAAAGCCAGGGCCTCCACCTAGGATGGGGTTTGTGCTTGCAGAACAGCCACGGACATGGCCAGCCTGGCCTCCTCCGTCACCGCAGGCCCGCTGCGAGGAAAGCAAGGACTTCTGCTTCTACCATTCTGTTACCTTTCTTGTCACTGCATGTGGGCGCCCATGGTTCTCTTCTGTGTTTATCACATGCCACGGCTCCCGGCCCGTCCTCAGCGTGGGTGTGGTCCTTACATGCTGCTTCTGAACTAGTGTCGTGATTTTTAAGGCACATTCACTAGAATATGTTCAAATTCACCCAAAAGCATGCTGTGCAACACACTGATTTCTTTAGGGAATGCAGAGTGGGGACTGAAAACTCAGTGGACAGTGTCCTCCTGGTCAGAGATGTTGGGAGAAAGTGCTGGCACTTTCCCAGGTATGCTTTCTGGTTAAAGGGCGTGAAATGAACAAAAGCCACAGGTGATCATAGCTACATCCTATTCCTTCCCTACTCGTCCTCATAATGTGATCTTAAGAAACCTCAGTTGATTGTTTGCAGATTGCCCTTTTCCCCGAGTACACACAGACACAGACAGACACACAGACAGACACAGAGCACCTTGAAGCCAGAAGGAAAGAAAAGCTAGAACTGGGGAAGTGAACTTCACCACTCTGCAGAGTTGTTGGGAGCAGAGGGTGCAGAATTTCGGGGGGCGGCTCCAGGAGTCACAGGGCCAGGAGCAGTTACAGAGGAGCTGCCTCAGCCCCCCGCTGCCCAACACGCCTAGGGATTACTCACGCCATCGAGTTTTCTGCTTGACCAAGGGCCACCTGTGTGGAGGGTGGGAGAGGCTGAGCCCAGGTGGTCTCCAGGGGCCCTGGCAGCTTTATGTCTTTGGGACCATGGCTGTGAGGCCAGTGGTCAGAGGAAATCAGCATCACAGGAACAGGGTTTCAAGAATAGACCTCGTGAGGCTAAGTCTTGAGCAGGTGACTCAGCTGACTTCGCTTGTCACTCAATGCCCAAAAGGGGCTTTGATGCCAAGGCTAACCTTTCTCCATGCCTTGGCTGGGAAGCTCAGTCCACGTTCCTAACCTCACTGAAAGTTCCAACCAATCCTTCTCCCAATAACTCGAGAAGAAAGTAGAGGCCAAGAGTTTTCCATTGTGCTTCTGATTTCTCTACTCTGCCACTGGATCCCCCTTCTCACTAGGACCCAAGATCAGCCGGTTCACAGAAGAGAAACAACTTGAGCAGCCTTTAGAGAATCTTGTTTCCATCACCCCACGTGTCAGCAGGTGTCTTCTTGAAGTCAGGGAAGGAAGAGCTAAGCTGGGACTATAGAAGGGAAGGGGGCACCACAGTAGTTCACTGGGAAATGGACCCACCTGTGTGGAGTCCCAGTGCCCTCAAAATGTCCCCAAGTTTAGAGCTGTCTAGAAGCCAGATCACCATGTGAACGAAACTAGATCACTGGAGGGGCTTCTCACAAAGACACAGGCCCGAGGTGCTGGCAGGTCCGAGCTGGAATAGGTAGGCCTGTCTTCAAGCACTCAAGGTAGATCACAAGGAAATGAGAGCACACTACCTCCACCCAAGCCCAGACCACCTCGGCACCCATTACGGAGCCTCACTAGCATGTTTCAAATATGCTTTTTATTTTTTTTTTTTAAATCCTACGTAGCCTGTCCAAACAGGCTGCAGTGAAGTGAAGAAGTGAAGAATAACGCCTGCCTGCTTCCCACGGATCTCCAACGAGGTAAGTAGCCTCTGATGGGGTAAGGGACAAGCAGGCGAGAGCTTGGAGCTTCCAAGCATGCAGGGTAGCTGGTGCCCTCTATGGAGAAATGTGGTGGGGGGAGAGATAGGCCCAGCCCCGGACACTCCACCCCATCATCACCTGCAGAGACAGGCCAGCCGCCCTGCAGGGCCTGCCCTCAGGGAGGAATTGGACAAGAGCCAGTGCTGATCAGACTGGCCTGTAAAAAGCCAGGCAGCTTTTCAGCAGGGAACTGCCCAGCTTCCCATGGAAATGGTTTCAATTTCCTGCATCAGTGCTGACAGTCCTAATTCTCTGGCATAGGCGAGAGGAGGAAGATATGTGATCTGGGTCCCAGGAAGGCCAGAGAGCCAGGGAGAGCTGTTTCTCGGGGAAGACTGTGGAACAAAGAAACCAAGAGAGCTGGGTTCTGAACTCTGCCACTAAACCAACCAGGTGACACACTTTCCAAGCACGATCGACCAGAAGTGACAGGATGGTTCTAGCTGAGCTCTAAGGGTCCTGCCACCTCTGATCTCCTTGGGTCCAAAATATTCCCTGCCGTCTTCGACTTGTACTATTCCCACCCAAGAAGAACCACACACAAGCCTCGGCATCCACGACCTCAGCTGGCCACACTGGGTGCTGAAGGGCTGGAAAGAGTACCTGAAGCCGGTCTGTCCTGAGACCAGCAGTTCTTCCTGGAGCGTGCCATGGCCCAGGAAAGGTGCCTTGCCAACAGGAGCCCGGCGCACTGATCTGTGTGCAGTCTGGGGGTGGGGGCCCGGGCCCCATCTGTTTCCTGGGGGTTGTGCAGGGGTTGCTGGGCAGAGCGCTCCAGGGGTAGCCAACCAGGCTCCCGGTCAGTCCCCATGGAGGGAGGCTGTGTCCTGCAGGCTCTGTTCTCTCAGACGCTGGGCCTCAAGGGCCAGCTGTCCACTGCCTGAGAGCACAGAGAAAACCTAGAGACATCAACTGAGCCAGAGCCTGCGGCCAGCTCCCACAGTCACTGACAGCCAGGCTTCTGCGGTCCTGGCAGGGTCCTCCACTCGCCTTCCCCCACCCCTGCCCCCCATAACCTTTCCCAGTCTTGGCTAAGGTTTTCTGAAGTTGGAGAACTTCTGCAGCTGGAAGGGCCAACCTGGTCAGCATGCACTCTGCTGGGTCGCGTGGCCACACCGCCCACCACGGACACGCACACTCACTGAGCCCCTTGCTGTGGGGTCCCCTTGTCTTCCGAATCCTGGGCCGCAGGGAAGGTGGGGCCTCAGCCCTGCGTTGTGCTTCCTCTCCCTCTACACCACTTCCTGCCTTCCCGATTGAAGGGGTCTCCCCGCATGGCAAACACCATAGCAGCAGGACCCACCCGAGTGGGGTGTGTGTTGACCTTGGGGCTCACAAATAATACACTCTGGTCCCTCCTCACACACACCCACCGACTCCTCTGCCTTGGCAGAGGGGACCGAGGAGCCAGATCCTGGCTGGCTGGGCCACGGAGCCCACTGAGAACCAGAGGTTCATCTGGCAGGAGGCCTATGTACAGAGAGCAGGCAGGGCTGTCTCCACGGCAGGCAGCGGCTCCACTCCAGGCTGGGCAACCCCAAGGGGCACGAGGAGGCCTCTACTCGCAGGCCAGCTTGCTGTCGAAGCTGGACAGGGCAATGGCAAAGGCCTGCAGCGCGCACAGTGGGTAGTTGTAATCCATGGTGAACACATCCTCTGCTACCCGGCCAAACTGCATCACGATGTAGTCCGCTGGAGCCGGGCAGGACAGGAAGACAGACAGAGAGCCAGGGCAAGGGTGGTGGAGATGTGGAAGGACAGACACCCAAACCACAAGGAGGGAAAGGAAGTGAGACAGAGATATGCCAAGGAAATTAAAAGTGGGCACAACAGAGCAGCGGAGGGAGGGGCGGGAGAGAGAGAGATGACAAAGGAGAGAGATGCGAACAGACAGCAGGAGATGGGGGAGAGGAGAAAGAACATTCAGAGGGTGCCTCCATGTACACAGGACTGCCGAGTGCACAGATGAGAGGGGCAGGGCTCCAGGGAAGGTTCTTCCAGGCCCTCCCAGTCGTGGTTACACAGTTCTTCATATCTAACCTAAGCCGTGTAACCAGTTTTAAACTCTGGCCTGTATGGGCCGGGCTAGGTGAGCTTAATCTGAGCGAAGGGGGCCAGGTAGCATGTGGACGGGAGAGAGTAGGGGCAGACACTCACGGTCATTGCCATGGATGATCTGGAAGTTCTTCACGGAGGCCTGAGTGACACGACCGTGGAAGTTGAGCACGTAGGACTGGGTGTCGTCATTCCAGACAGGTGTCTTGTTTTGCAGCTCAATGATGCTCTCTGTGTTCTTATTCTGCCAGCGTGCCAGCAGCGTCTCATGCTCCTGGGAGGGCAGCTTACCTGAGCCACGCCCAGGCTGTGGCATCATGACCACCCCAAAGAGAGCTCTGTCCCGGGGGCGAGGGTCCCTAGATCTCCCTAGAACCCTGGGGCTCCTCACACTGTGTCTCCTACGTTCCATGCACAAGCAGGAATTGTCCTAGAAGCTCATGGAGAGGTTGGGAAGACAGGAAGGGGTGGGGCAGGGCAGAGACTCACATTGCGGGGTCGGATGGAGACTCTCTCGTGAACCATGTTCATGCCCGGGACAATCACACTCATCTTCCGTGGCCCCTTGAAGCCTAGGACATTAGTCTCCTGAGAAAGAGGGAGAGACAGAGCTCAGCACCGGCCATCTGAGGACTCTGCCTGCCTACTGGAGACTGGGGTGGGGGAAAGGGAATGAGGATGATGAACTGGTTTTCACCATCTACTAGGAGGTCCAACAGGATCTCTAACGCACCCTGTCCAGAACTGAGGTCCTGAGTCTCCAGCTGCCAAACGCAGCTCTGCTCCGAGTCCTCCTCACCTCTCGTTTGCTCAAGCAAACTACTTGGAGTCACTCCCGGCTCCTCTCTCTCCCTCACACCCACTTCTAATCCACCAGCAAATGCTGTCAGCTCGACCTCCAAATTAAAACCAAGGTCTGACCATGGTTCACCAGCACCACCAATCACAGGCCATGGTGAGAGCCTTTAACTGATCTTGTTGCCCTCTGTGGCCCCGTCCAGCCTCCACTCCCACCATCTGTTCCGCACACAGCAGCACGCGGTCTCTGTGTCAGGGTAAAAGCTGGCTTTGACCTTGACCTGTGAGGCCTGAAATGATCATGGCCCAATCACCTCCCTCTGCTCTCCCCTGCATTCACCCTGCCCTCCTGCTTCTCCCCCTACATACCAAGTGCCCGGGACTTCCGTGCTCGCTGTGTTCTCCCCGACACCTACACACGGGCTCTCATTTCTTTCTGAACTTTGCCCACGTGGCAGCTTAGAGAGATGCCCCCACCATCCTTCCTAAAAGCTCTGGACCTGTCAGATCCTCCTCCCTGCTTCATTTTTTCCTTCTAGAATTTATTTAATTTTTATATTTTGTAGATTGTCTCCCCCACTCTCCCCCTAAGAGAGTAAATGGATGTCTGCTTCGATCACTACTACATCCTCAGTGCCTCCAGGTCCTTGGGATGTAGTTGGGGTTCTTATTTGTTGGAGATTCAAGTTGCCTTCCCAAGCTTGACCCGCAGGTGGCATCATAGGTCCACACAAATAGCTATGGATTCCCATTCAGCCTCCAAGAACCACCTCACTGCAAGTTGCTGGGGGTACCAATCCCTCATTTTAAAAATGAGGTGAAAAAATGCCCTGTGTTTATATTCCAGTTTGGTCATTGATGAGCTGTGTCACTCTGGCAAGTGATCCAACCTGTTTCCTTATCTACGTGATTAAAAAAACAGGATCGAGCTCATGCTGAGCACCCAGTGAGACGACTATGCAAAGGCCTGTAGTCCCTGCAGGACAGGACGGGATGCCAAGGGAGGACTGGAGAGGCACCAACATGAATGGGCCTCCTGCTGCCTCCTTCCCTGGGAGCACTCAGGTTCCCAGAGCTCCCCAGGCAGATGGGAGCCTGAGTTATAAGTTAGGAGGAAAGGGCCAGGGCCCCCGTCCAGGCAAGGGCTGCCCACCTCTGCACAGCCTTGTTCACCCACCAAGATAGATGAACAGTCTCCAGATCAGGCAGCAAGTCCCGGGTGTTAGGTCTAACTTGGAGAGGAGAGACCCAGAACCCAACACTCACGTAGCAAACAGCTGCCAATTCCTGACGCAAGGTTCCACTTTCCAAAGTAGAGGATGATGCCTTCTGAGGGTTGACTCCATTATCATAAACCGTGAACTTGGTACCCATGAGGTTGGACCTGAAGGGCAGGCACAATCAGGACGGGATCGTGTACGCGCTGCCCCAGAGCCACACTAGCTCAGTCTCTCCCACAAAATGCCACAAAGCATTGTGGGCTGGGCCAGGGGCAGATCTAGGGGACTCACTGGGTCCCCATCTGTGAAGTTGCTCATAGGCAGAGGCCCAGAGGCCCAGCTGGACTTGTTCTGCATTAACCACAGGGCCTCTCAGATCAGTGAGGGAAATTCAGGGAAATACATGTGGGTTCCACAGAAATGAGGTGCTCCCCTAATGGGAGGAGACCAAGCAGAATGGCATCCGGCAAGACTGTAGCGGGGACTCGGCACGCTGTGGAAGCAGATGGGATGGTCTCCTCTCTCCCATGCAGCCTGTGATCTGAGCCAATTCTATGTCCAGCTTTAGCTCCTTTACTTTAAGCTTTGACCACTGCTCCCCAAATCTGGCCCTGTTTCTCAGCAAGCCCTCCCTCCTCCTGAGGCTCTTCCCCAGTCCCAAGGTCGCTATGGCTCTTTTCTTTCAAGCCCTGTCTTTTGGCACTGAACATGGGGCCAAGGCAGCTCTGCATGGTGGCTACATCATCAGCGACATCTGGGGTATAGTCAGTCCCTCTCGGGGGACCTGCACCTCCCAGGCAGGTTATGCAAAGCATAACTCCAAGTCTGGCTGTGGGCTGGCACAGACCTCGGGCCACTGTTGGATCTGATGGACACAGGCGGCCCTTTGGGGACAGGAGCTGCCCTCACAGAGCCTGACCTACCCCCTCTCCCCCCACTTCCAGGAAGGGCAGGTACCTCAGTTTCCCGATGTAGCTATCCCCTCCTCGTGACAAGTCTGTTGGGTCCACAGAGATGAGGTAATTGGAAGTTTTACTCTTCTTTCTCTTCCTTCCCGCCAGGAGGAACACCTTGGGGAGTGGAGTAGGTCACTTTCCAGACCCGCCTCTGGTTGGCCCACAATCACCGATTACCCTTATTCCAGCACGCGTGACCCCCCAACTCCAGCTCCCGAGCACATGCACGCACATGTGCTCTGGCTAACACAAAGGTGCATGCTGGGCCCACAAGGAGGTGCTTGTTCCTTTGGGCAACTGAAAGGTCAGTGTGAGACCTGACACTTCTAGCCACAGTCTGGCCCCGGGACTACACACCAGCCTGGGTGACAGCCCTGTGCAGGCCAACCTCACCTTCTTGCCATCCTCACGGTCCATGTGCAGGAAGTAGGTGGGGTACATGCCCCGGTCCATCCCCTTCTTGTCCCGCGTGATGCGGCACTTGATGGTGATACCCTGGGGGGCTGGCCTCAGGGCAAACTCCTCAAGGTCCTGAACCTCGACATCCACTGATGGCTCTGGGGCTGTTGGGCTAGGGGCCGAGGCAGCCTCCTGCAGGGGAGAAAAGGGCACCCTAAGCCCCAGAGACCCTAGGCAGCTGAACTGGTGGTCTGGGACCCTAAACTGTCTGGTGATGTGGTGGGAGGCGGGGCAGGGACCCTGGGATATGGGCCCAGCATCCCTGCCCTGGCCTCAGCAGTCCCTGCGGTGGAGGTGGGGTTAAGGCAGATTCTCAGGGGTCGTCATGTCCAACTCCAGCTCCTCCAGCAACCCCACCCTCGTGGCCTGGCCGAAGAGAAGGGGAGGCAGGCCATCATGTCCCCTCAGTCATGTCCCTCCGGCCCGATGACCTGTGAACACTGCGGTCCGCCCTCCTGCCGGGCTGGAGCACCTCGCTCACCCTGTTGGACTTCCTGCTAGTGGCGGAGCTGGGGCGTGTGTTGCTGTTCAGCTGGGAGGAGCTGGAGCTGTTCTCCTCCTCCTCCTCCTCCTCCTCAAAGCTCATGCTGCTGGACATGCCTGGGCAGGAAGAGGAGCAGGAAGGGTAAGCGGTCACCTCCATGCACTGGCCACCCACCTAGACACACGCACAGCTGTGGACACACCCGCGCACACTGTCCCCCCCCCCCACACACACACAGAGACACTCTCACACACACACTTTCTCTCACACACACAGCCAAACAAACACAAGGGCACATCTCAGGTATACATGTGACTGGGGCTGGTCACCATCCTCAGGATGTGCCCCTCCATCCCCACCTCCAGCTCAGCCCCGCCATCGAGCCCCTTCTCTCCTGCAGGCAGGGCCTGTCTCCTCTGTAGCCAGGCCTGCACTGACCTGATCCTGTGCTGGGAACCTCCATTTCTGACTCAGGCCCACTAGAGGCTTGGCTGCACAAGACCATGGAATCTGCTCGGGAAAGGCTCAGCTTCTTACTCCGTCTGACATGTGGGCCCACCAACTCCTACATGCTCCCCCCACCCAGAATGCCATCCCCTGCCCCGTGTTGCCCGGACCACCCCGTCTCCAGGAAGCCATCCCAGATATGGAGTGTGTGTGGCTCTGCTGGGTCCCTTCTGCTCCCCACACGAGGCTGCCTAGGGCAGGGCTTACAGGGAAGTCATCAGGGCAGCAGGCTTCTTAGATTTTTCCTTCCTCTTGGCATCCTGGCCCCGTTCTCCCCCAGTTCATCTGACATAAGGGGAACTTTCTGCACAGGGAGATTTTTCAAAGGGACAAAGGGAGGGAGGATCTTTCCTCAAACCTGGGCCTTCCTGGCGCAGATGAGGGTGGAGGTGGGCAGAACCGAGAGCTGGGTACTCTAGTGCATATTTCTTTCCCTTTGGCCTGGAGGAACCCCTATCAGGAGCCCCTGCCCAAGTTTCTTATTGGTCTCCAAGTGTGGCCCCGACCAGGGCCGGGGAGGGGCTGGTGCAGATACAGGAGGGCCTTGATCCTGAAAGAGGATACACATGAGAACCTGGGACTGAGCTTTAGGGGGTGTCGCTGGACCCCCGCGGGGCTCACCCTTCCTCTGCATCGCGGTTCGGAGTTCCTGCCCGCTGGGCCGTGTGCCCCCACCAGCTGCCGTGTCCCCTGCGTCCTGGGCATGGTCTGACTGGCCCACAGTCAGGATCTGCACCGGGCCTCGGGCCTCAGACTTGTCTTCTGCCAGTTCTGCTGGCCCGCCAGTGCCTGCAGGCCGGGGACATTCCTGAGTCCCAGCTGGGGGGGCAGGGAGGGGTGAGAGAGGGTCTGGATCCTCAGATGTCCAGCAAGTAGGTGAGGGATGAGCTGGGGAGACTCTCTGAAATACTTGATTCACAAAACTGATTTTAAAAAAGCTAATGACAGCTGCCAGCCTCTTCACGATCTGTACGTGATGAAGGAACATGGGCTTCATTTCTTGTGAATGTCGCCTCCCTAGGCGACAGCAGCCTTCTACAAGATCAACTGCATGTGGCAAAAAACAGGCTGGAAGAAAGGGTTGATCCAGACCACAGCAGAGGCCACCACTTGCGCACAGCCATGGCAACTCCATGTGCCAGCGCTGGTCCTCGCTTGCTCTCACACACTCTCACATACACACATACATAGACACACACAGACACATGCACAGTGACACACACTGTTAAAAAAACAGTTGGATCTCTTAAGACTGCGGTTGGCATATACCACTTCCCCATGGAGGCCCTCCACCCCATGTGGATCTCTCTGCTCAGGGGCTGCAGCTTCAGCAAAAGAAGGCTGGGTCCACACAGGTGGCGCCCCCTGTTCAGGGGGCTGTGTCCCACATGCTCACTCAGCTCAGGACACCTGTGAAGCCTGACGCCACTCCCAGCTGTGACCTGGAGGCCCAGAAATCATTGCCTGGAAATGGTGCCCTTTGCACAAAGGGTTCAGGAAACGAGACATCCAGCCAGCAGAAATGGGACTTGGGTGGGGGTGACCGTACCTGTCCTTATTCTCTGGGAGTCTTTTCTGGAGAGAGAGAGGAGTGGAGGGAGCAGAAGGGTCCACAGACCTACAGGGTGGGGCTGGAGCTACGGCAGAGCTGAGGACGCATGCGTGAAGAGTGAGCACTGCACAAGATGGTGCAGGCTGCCTGGGGGAGTGAGGTGGGTGTCCTAGCCCAGATTGAATGAGATCTCCAGTAGTCAGGATGGAGGAAGAGGGAGCTCAGGCCAAGCAGAAGGGCTTCTGAGTCACAGCTGAGCTGGACTTCACTTCCTGGCAGTAAGGCGGGCATGCCTATACCCAGAAGCCAGCCTGGAGGTCCTATGAGCCAGCGAGGTGGGTCCGCGTGCCGTTCTGTACCTTCGCTGGGGCCTCCTGTGCTGTCCCCCACCTCTAAGTCTGGAAGATGGTAAAACTCCACCCCCCAACCAAGAGTGAGGGCCAGACTTCCAGGGATGGGTGGTAGTGAAGAGGAGCCAACCTTTATGCTTCCCCTTCTTGTCCTTCCTAGAGGCCCCACCCTGGCCCCCCGCTGCAGCTGCTGCCTTGGTTCTCTTGGCTGTGACTGGTGCTGTCGGGTGAGCAGCTCCCAGCTGCACGGTGGCGAGTGAGTCGGCCTCTTGAACTGCTCAGGAGAGAGCCCAAGGTTTGGGGGGGTGGGAGTGAGGGGGGAGGGGAGGGGAGAAGAGAGAGGGAGAGGGGACACGAGGTGAGACCAGAGCTCCAGCTGGAACACACTTCCATCACAGCACTCCCAGGTCCCCGCACCACCACCCAAGCCCCACAGGGCCTCTGAACGCCTCTTGGGCCCACAGAGTCAGCGCCAGCTCATCTGCACCTGGGACAACCGAGCATGGCCCAGCACATCAGTCAAAGGCCTGGTCAAGCTGTGATCAACTGAAAAGCAGAACAGCCCAAGCCTGCACCAACAGACAGACTGAGCCCGGGCAGGGAAGCAGAGAGGGCGGATGTGGGTCACTGCAGATGGTGGGTGGAGACAGAAAGGCTGTATCTTCTGCAAGAGACCACACCAGGCAAGTGCTCTAGGGAGTTTGCATAGGCCCTCTGGGGATGAGCCATGGGGCAGCAGCTTAACTAGGGGATATAAGGAACAGCATCCACCAATAGTAAGGTCTGGAAGGTCACAGCTGGACAAGTCCTTGAAAGGCTTAGTCTGATTTCTCACTGTCCTGATAATGGAGACCAGCCTCCACCTCCCACCCCCACCCTGGCCTAACTACACCCCTCACCCCCGGGGCGCACAACTCCCTGCCACTGCAGGGTCTTTCAGCACCTTGCTCACACTGGACTCCCTCTGTCCACAGGGGCCTTCTTCTAGCTGTTCCTGCTGCCTGGGCTGCCCTCACTACTGTGTCACCCCCACCCCCACCCCCACCCTGGCCCCAATGCCCCATTAACTCCCTCTTATCCTGCAGATTCCAGCTCAGGTGATTCCCACCTCAGGGAAGCTTTCTCTGACTCCCCTCCGGGATCAGGCTGTGGTTCACGCAGGGCCTGGCTGCTTCTGCACACCTGAGCAGACTTGCTTAACTCCCTCTCGCCTCCTAGATCTTAAACTTCAGGAGAGAGCAGAGACCAGGGTCTCACCATGGACCCCCAGCTTCTAATCCAGAACCTGATACAAAGCAGGCCCTCAATAAATATTTAAGAAATGCGTGTAACTGGGTATGCTGACCAGTGCTAACTAGACTTACTGTGGTGATCATTTCACAATACATACAAATAGAGAATCATTTCCTACTATACCTGAGGCTAATATATTTTAGGTCAATTATATCCCAATATAAAAAAAAAAAAACCTGCTGAACCTACTCTCAAGTTAAAAAAAAAAAATGGATGAATGTATAAGTGACTGCGCATGGCCAAAAGGTGGAAAACTGTTCACCAGGACACATGAGAGTCATGTCCAACTCCCTCATTGGCCTCTGGGAAGAGTCCCGTGCACGTAAGGCCAGCAGCCAGCAGAGGGCAGTGCAGTGGGCAGCTAACGTTTGGAGGCGGCAGGGATGCTCCTGGAAACAGCAGCCCCAGGTCACCAGCCACATGCGCAGCAGCATCCCCAAGCCTCCGCTCGGAGCTGGCAAAGCCTGGGCCCGGAGAAGCAGCACCACCAGCTTATTCTGCAGTCTTCCAAGGAAGAGCCTTCGGCTAACTGGGCCCTGGCCACACCGGCGGCTGCTTCAACTTTCAAAGCCCTGAGACAGAGTTTTTCATACTTCACTGGGGAGGAAGCAGACTCAGCGGGTAAAAGTGACTTGCTCAGTCACAAAGGAGCAGGGGACCAGTAGACCAGAAACCCTGTCTTCTGACAAGGGTGGTGCTCCCTCCAGAGGCACTAGTTTCTGAGTCCTGGTTCTGCTTGGCACCATCGGCACTCTCAAAACAACTACCAAAAAGCCTGCACAATGACAAATTGCAGACTTAAAGCCTGGTGACACCAGCCTTTGGCATAACAGACAGCGAGGGCCCAAGGCCCTAGGAGCCACTCCCAGTCCAGCTGTAGCCTTGGCAGAGCAGGGGCTGTGATGTCCACAGGGCAGCAGGTGGCTTCTCTGCAGGGCACCACCACCAGCCTTGGGCATATCCACAGAGGCACACAAGGGGGCTGCTGGGAAAGGGTGGGGTTGGGGCCAGTTCCACGTGGAACAGCCAGTGCTGAGCTGGGAGCACTAGCAGGGGATTTACTGTGGACGGTCCGCTCAGGGAGCCTGGAGTCAGACAGGCCTGGGTTCCTGGGCTCACCCCGCTGCTTTCTAGAAGCCTACCATGGGCAAGTTCTTGAATCCGCAGAGCCATCTCCTACCTGATCATGTGGGACTTGTGAGTGACTGTGAATGAGACAATGCAGGCAAAGCAGCTAGTGCCATGCCCCGCCACTGGGAAATACTGAGTCATCCTTTATTATTAGGGGTTTCTTCAGAGAGGGCCCCACTGGCATGCTGGGGGAGGGTCTAAAGCTGCAGACAAGACACAGCTGTCTGTCTAGGCAGACAAGGGGATGCAGGGGGCTAAGGGCTGCATTAGTAGAACCTGAGAGGCTGTGGGCCAGGGGATACGGTGAAAAGAGGGGCCCAGCAGTTAGCTGACAACGCTGTCTGATAAAAGGCAATGATCAGCAATTTGCCCTGGCTGGAGGCTCCACATCTTGAAGCTAGAGAAGGAGGCACCAAGGTCGCTGAGGTTCTTCCCAACTGCAAAAGCCACGATAGTCAGTGGGTGAGGAAGCTGCCAGGATTGCTGACACCCACAGGGGGCAGTGTGGACTGGGTCTGAATCCCTTTTCCAGGCTCAGAGACCAAGCCCCTGGCAGACCCGAGGTACGCGTAACCTAAGCAGGCGATGGTCCTGAGCACAGGGAGGCAGTGGAGTCCATACCCCCTCCCGGGATGCGCTGCAGACACTCGCCCCGAAGGGGGGTCTGCTAAGCGCAAGGACGGGAGCTGGAGGCTGCAGGTCAGTGCCAGGTAAACCAAGGGTGTGGAGAGACCACGGAGAGGAGGGAACAGGGGTGTTGCTGGTGTGGGGCAGGATGCAGAGAGGGGTTCCTCTCGGGAGGCAGAGCCCTAGCGGGGAGCAGACTCAGCTCCTGGCAGCGGCCTCCGGCTCTCAGCGAATCACTCCAGTCAGAACCATGAACTTTCAACTCCTAGACCCATCAAGTTCCAGCCCAAGCTCCAGGTTCCAGCCTCCCCCTGCCCGCCCTGCTCCACCTGGGCTGGGAGCCACCTTCAGCCTGGCAGGAGCCCGTCCCCAGCTAAGGTCAGCAAGAAGTCCCTGGGCTCCCTAAAGCATGGGGGGGGGGAGGTGTGCAGCTGCAGCACAGGGGCCACCCAGCTGGGTGGTCCCTGGGGCAGCAGGCAGGGTGTACCTTGGTAGCTGGTGCTGCCACTGCTGCTGAGGTAGGACTCCACCAGGGGGGCCTGCTCCTCCGACTGCCGGGCCCGCCGACTCCGGGGCCGCCCATCAGCATTGGCCTGCACCATCAGGGGCTCCTGGCGCTTCTTTTTCTGCTTCTGCTCCAGCAGGGCCCGCTACAGAGATGGCAGATGGCACAGAGGTTGGGGTGCCTGGAGAGGGCAGCCCACCACCTCCACCTGGAGGGCGGGGCCTCCACATGGGACTGAAGGCCCTGCTGGCAGGGTTCAAGAGAAGGCAATGGCATCCACAGCCTACTGGACTGTGGTCTTTGCTGTCCCATGATTTGGGGGTCCAGAAAAAGGTGGCAAAACAGCCGAGGAGGCTGCTCACAGCAGATGTCAGGCCCCCTGTCGGCAGCACCCCCAACTGCCTGGCAGGCAGAAGCCCTGTGAACTGGGATAATGTAACTACTGAGCTGATGAGAGTGCACACCCCTCTTTCTTCTGGGGGTCCTCCTCTCATCTCGTATAAGATCACCCCAGACAGTAGGACAGCCCACTCCCTTCTTCCCTGGGAACTCCTGGCTTGGGCTCTGGCCAGGTTGACAAGCGCTGACCACTGCCCAGCCCCAGCCTCACTTACCTGCCGGTCAAGCTTCTGCTGCCTCAGGTTGCTGCCCTCATCATCTAAGACACTGCAGAGGGAGAGAGGGCGTTCAGGGCCTGCCCGCCAGGTGCCAGGATACAGCCCAGAGTCCCTCCTGCCCCAATACAACTGGGTTCTTTAAGCCCTCCCGTAGTGACTCCTGGGCCTCGGGGAGCCCACCTGGGGAAGGGGAGAGGGGGGACACTACTAGCTGGAAGTCGGCTCAGACAAAAAAGCTTCAGCTTTTTTCTGTGACTTGGGAACTTAACTCCTGCTGTGATCTCTGCTGCCCAAGGGCTACCAGTGAGAATGGCTCCTGGAGGAGACTTTCCCCATGGGCCCATGAGTGGGGCCTGATCCAGGGGACCCTGTGCAGAGGCATTAGGTGCAACCAGATCCAAGGTCAGATCTCAAACCCAGAGATCTCACCAGATCTTCCCCCTCCATCTTTTATCATTTCCGGAGGAGGTTGGGGCAGACCCCCTCTGGGTCTCTAGGTGGCAATGAGCGGTGCTGACAATGCTCCAAGACTGATGGTCCCCTTCTTTGGGAGGAGGTTGAGACCAGCCAGGCCCTCAGGCAGGGCTAGGGCTGGTGGGGGTGTCTGCAGGGGGTAACAGTTCATCAGTGCACAGCCCGCAGGCAAGCAGTCAGCAGGCCACAGACAGGGTGCGGGAGTAGCAGGATATCAGACCCTTGAGTCCCCGGGGCCTTGGGACACACTGCCCCATCTCACACAGACTGGCCCTGCCTCCTAGGAAGACAGATAACAAGCAGGAAGCTGGTAACTCAAACCACTTAGCTTTTTTCCCAGCCCATGACATGCATGAGACCTGCACCCATGTTTTGTAAAAGCTGAGGTCAACAGAGTCCAGCTGCATGGGGGAGGGGAGATGGAGCCTGAGGACCTGAGTTCTGGGAACAGTCCTGGGCTGCCCTAGCCTAATTATGCTGGAGTCGACCCCTGAACAACACCCCATACCTATGGGAGGGGTGGGGTCACCTGCACAGGCATACCCGAGTGCACTGGGTTCACGTTCAAGGTTGAGGGAAGTCTAAAGGAGTTTTATCTCCCACATGTACACATGCAGGAGGGGCCAACGGTGCGAGTGCATCTGCCTGTGTGAGCAAAGACCTGGCTCGTCTGCACACAGATACCCGTGTCAGAGGCACAGAGGGCGTGCTTGTGTGCAGGTAAGTAAGGTGCCGTGTGTAAGGGGGAAAGATGAGGTCAAATCACCCAGAGGACACAGCGAAACCCTGCCCACCTCCCCGGACAGCAGCAGCACTTTGCAGCTGGAACAATCAAGCTGAAACGTTCCTTTAGCCCATCCAAACTACTTGTGTCTCTGTGCTGGGGAAAGGCAGCCAGGGAATGGCAGGAAGTCCGCAGATTACAGGCAGTCCCTACCCCCTCAGGCCTCACCCACCCTGCCTCCCTGGCCACAACCTATGAGGACACTGTCTATGTTTGGCTGTCAGCTGTTCTACCTACTCGGCATCTGAGGTGACCTTTCCTGACACCGTGGGCTGCTCTGCACTCAGAAGAGCCCCTACTGGGATCTGGGCTCTGCACACAACAGCTTCTTTCACCAGCTCCTTGGCGGCCAGAGCATGGGAGAAAACACTAATTGACAGAGGGGCTGCTCTGTCAAGGCCCCGGTCTTCTAGAAGAGAGGGTACACCACTGCATTTGGGGCTCTCCGAAGGCACCTCCGGGATGGAGGACAGGGAGCCAGCTCCTATAAATTCAAGCTTGCTGGTTTGGAAAGTGTCTGATCACAGAAGGCGGCGCCACAGGCCGGAGGGCAAAGGGTGAAGGCACGGGGTGAGCCAGGCAGACACTACAACTCTTGTCACCGTCTCTCCACCTTAAATGGTGGCCTGATGGAATGATCAAGGGCAAAACATCTGCTTCCACACTAACTTGCGCAGATGAGTCCCCAAACCACTGTGAGTGTGGTCTGCTGCAAAAGCAGCATGTGCCGATCCACTATTTCCAGGACGGAGATGCAACTGCAGACTGGGCTGTGCATGCACCTGGCTGACGGGAGCCGCAGGGCCCCGGCCAGCTATGCTCTGCTTGCCAAGCTCTGTGCCAGGCATGCACGGGGTGGCCTGCTCTCTCACAGTCACGTGCTAGTGGCCTGGCCACAGCAGCCCATGTGACACCACTCCCCACCCCCCACTTTCAGCCCGCAGGAGAGGCCATTTCATGGTTTCCTGGGATGATACAGGGCACTCACATTTTCCCTGGGCAGGACAAAGAAGAGGGCTTCTGGGCCTCCCCAGTGGCGCAGAGGTTGAGCGCTGGGCTGTGAAGCTGCCCACAGCCTCTACAGCGCCAGTTTAATCCCCGGCCGCCAGCGAGGGTCCCACATGGTGCGCAGACCTCTCCTGCCGCCCGCTGCTCCCCTCAGCAGTGTACTTCATCAGTCTGCCTGTTCTGTTCCCCGCTCTGGCTCTGGTGAATTCTCTCACCCTCCCTCGCTTCTGACTGTACCCAGTGCTTGTATAAATAAATAAATCTTTAAAAAAAAAAAAGGAAGAAGAAGAGGGCTTCTGTGGCGCTGACACTAACATCCAGGGTCACTCAGAAAACAGGACATCTAGCTGGGAGGTGGGGCCCCACCGGCAGAGCAGCCTCTGCACTGCTAGGTCACTGGCTGCTCAAGTGTCAACAGGTGGGCCCTCCACAGTGTTCTCACTGCCTGGCCTCCCAATGATGTTATCTGGGCAGTGCGGGGCATTTCCTACCCCCCACTCTCCCACTGCCACGAACTTCCCAGTGACGCCCCGGGAAGGGAGGCTGCTTTCATGCTTTCATGCAAACATGACTTCCTCTTCCTCTGTCCCCTGCACTCCCTGCTGGGGGAGAGTGATGAGGAGCCACAGGCTTTAGTAACACTGATTGCCAGTGAGATTTTAGGCAGAATGGACTCAACCACTGACCTTCAGAGAAGGACGGATGAATGCAACGGCTTCTGAAAAGAGATTCCAGAAACCTCAGATACCCTGGAAGTGCCTAGAGAGCAGCCCGCCCCCTCAGTCACCACTAGGCCTGCTGGAGCCATGCAAGGAAAGAGCAGGCCTGACTGGAGGCGGCAACTGGTGGGGGAGGAGAGGAACAGGGGAGCAACTTGTGCCTGGTGAAGAGGAAAGTGCCTGGCTGAGCAAGACCCACACAGGACTGCTGTGAGGGGGCATCCATGCACAGAGTCAAGCAGATGCCTGGTGCAGCCGCATTTCTGGGAGAACCAAAAAGGACGGCGGTAGACGCCAATCGCTTGTACTGACAAGCTTGCACGGGGTGGGTGTTTCCACCTGACATGTACCTGGAGCGCACAACATCTGTCCTGATGAATAGCAAAGACTCCTCTGCAGACAGCAGCAGCGTGCTAGAGAACAGTGACAATGAAGGCTGACTGCAGGGAGAGCAGAGCCTCAGCACCTCCCGCAGCCCCCAGCAGAGGGCCCTGCCTCTCATCTCCCACACAGCACCTCCCCTAGGCATCCTCTCTCACCAATGCTCTTTGGCCAGCCGGAGCTGTCCTAGGCGGCACTAAACGATAACCACAAGGAGACAGTAATGGCTTTTTAATGACTTGGGCTCCAATTATGGAATCACTGCCAAGCCCAAGGCTGCCAGCTGCAGCCCCGCCAGGAGACTCGGATAAGGAGACGGGACACTGATGGATGGGTCTTCCAGCTGACCCTGGTGGCTCCTTTATTCTGGAGTGTCGCCTCCTTCTGGGGAGTGAGACTAGGGAGGCCCAGGAAAGCACAGGCCACTGGATCACAAGAGCCAGAGAAACCCAGTGTGCTGATGCACCAATCCATGCATCTGCCCAGGGCCCACAAAGTGGCACCCTCACCTCCAAGGAGACAGCCCTTCAGTAGCCCTTTACTTCCCCAAGACACCCACAATAGCTGAAGAGTGAACCATACTTGACAACAAATGAGGGCAGGGAGGCAGAGGGCACATCTTCTATGGCCAATGAATTGGGAAAGCGATTTCAGATCCTCCTCATTTTGTGTACTCCACACTACATGCTCCAGCTAATCCACCAGAACTGACCAGAGGCCTGGAGGTCAGGTCACTAGGGGCAACCCCACTCCCCAAGCGCACTTTGCCCTCCCCGTCCCTGTCCTCACATGTTTCCCTCAGTTGCAATGCAATCTGCCCTGCTAGAATGTAGGCAGTCAGGGAAGTGGGCTGTCAGAGGAGAAAAGATCACCCAGGGTACCTGGGTGCATCCCACCCACACCCCATGCCAATGCCAGACCCCCAGAATGTCAGTTCTATGGCTTCCATTGCCTAGTGGTGGCTTAGAGCGCAGCAGAAAAACGATGGGGGTAGAACTGGGACAGCTCCAGAAGGGAGACAATGGTGCTACTCCTGGCAGGAGCTCCAGCCTCCCTGGATGGGCACCTCCACTGCAGCCACTAGCACCCATACTCACCAGGTACATGAAAACCTCTAGGGTGCTTGGCCCTAATGTGGTAGCTCAGAATGGCTGCCAGATGACCTAGAAACAATCCCCTGCCTCGCTGACGCAGGTGATGGTAATGCTCAGCCATGGAAATGGAGACCATGAGCCACAGCTGGTGGGCTCTGAAGACGCGAAAAAGAACTAGAGTTCCTCTAAGGCTGGAAGGCTGGAAATGCAGCCTTTATGTCCAAATGGGGGAAGGAATAAGAGTCTGGAGATGAGTGAGTGTAAAGTAAATGACTGTCAGGCATTTCTGCCCTCCCGCCATTAGGACTGATGGATCCCTGTGGCCCTGAATGCGTGCCTGATGCTGGACCCCTGGAGTAGGGTGTGGGCATACATAGGTGAGTACACCTGGGCTGAAATGAGGCTTATAAGGGCGGCGTCGCGGAATGGAACTGGACTAAGAGAACAAACAAGAGAGAAAGAGAAGCAGAAGAGAGAGAACGAGACCACGAGGAAACGCCAGAGAGCCCAGATAGAGTAAAGATTTGCCGGGGCTTGAAGGCCTGCCAGCCTCCAGGCATCCTGTCACCCCTGCCTGCTAGGTACCTGG